TCGCCTTTCGTTTCTGCTGCTGGTTGAAATCTGGACTCGCAGTGCGTGCTGAATGATTTATTTTGCTTGCACAAAACTATTTTTAGTCGCAAATGCGAGTAAAATGCTTGCACGTAGAGCTCTGTGGAAAACAAATCACTGCCGACAAGTAAAAAGTCAAAAATAGTAACTTTCACTGCTCAAAGATACTCACATGTCTGGAAAACAAACCACTACAGCAGCATATTGAGTGCCAGGTGGCCAGCGTGCGCCGTTAAGCCCTTTTTCACACAGAGCGCGCAAAGTGCAGACCTCCGCCGACGAAACGATTCATTGTGTATGTGCTACCACCAGCGTGCGCCGTTATTGGACTGCGCATGGATACTCACAGAAAAGTGCCGCGAGAATAAAAAAAAAGAAAAGAAATAAAGTCAGATTAAATATTCCTTCCGCAACAATTTTAAGACCTTTGAGTAATGAATTTAGGACCAATTTGAGACATTTCTAATGAATTTAAGACATTTTCAGGCTTTACTTTTAGATACATGAATTTAAAGACTTTTCAAGGATCCGCGGGTACCCTGTAATACCATCAGGCAAACAATGAGATCTCAACTTGTATGTTGTTCGACAGCACAAGAAGGTGGTGCTAACTCAACTCTTACTTGTGTTAAACAATAATAACATCTCAGATAAATTCCAATCTGGGTTTCACAACAACATAGCACTGAAAATGCTCTCCCAAGGTAACGATTTACTGATGGGAGCTGATGCTGGGGTATGTTCTATTTTATTGCTTCTTGACCTCAGTGCTGCGTTCGACACTGTCGATCATACCATTCTCATCAATAGACTAACACGGTGTGTAGGTATATCTGGAACTGCTCTTAGATGGTTTGAAACGCACATCTCAGAAAGAGAATTTTGTTTTGTCTTCAGCTCCACAGATGTGTGGGGTGCCACAGGGATCTATTGTTGGTTCTCTTTTGTTTTCACGCTATATGCTTCCAACAGGACACGTTATCAGTCATCTTCATGGGGTATCCTACCAACTGTTACACTGATAACACCCAAATCTACCTGTCCTTTAAGCCAGATAATGTTAGCTGTCTGAGCACTTTAATAAAGTGCTTTACTGCTATTAAGAGATGGATGACTTGTAATTTTCTGCAGCTAAACTCAGAGAAGACAGAAGTAATAATCTTTGGCCCTGATCACCAAGCAAGCAAATTACAACCGTTCACTGGTCCTCTGGCAACTAATATACAATCTACAACAAGAAATTTATGCATCACTTTTGATCCTCAATTTAACTTTGAACCACGTCAATAATTTTATTAAATCCTGACACTTACACCTAAGAAATATTATCAAAATCAAACCAGTTGTGTCTTTTCCTGACCTATAAAGGCTTATTCATGCTTCTGTATTCTCGTGCCTCAACTACTGTGATGCACTGCAACAGGGATAGATCGTAAGTCACATATCTCCCACATTCTCACCTCCACCAGTTAACTTCAGAATGATTTTAAGATCCTATTAATAACTTTTAAGGCTCAACATGGTTTAGCCCCTAGTTATATAGTGGAGCTTCTGACTACCTGGGCCCGTATTTATCAAGCTTCTTAGAATTACTCCTAAGAGCACTGCTAAGAGTCGACTTATGACTAAAAAAATTCTTCGCTGAAAGCCACACTTAAAAGTTAGTTATCAAGCGTCCTACTCATACTTTTAGTGAAGTGTAGGACTGAATCTTAAGTGTCGGTCTCAGAGCTGAATCACGACAGTGCTATGTGCCATAAATGGAATTTTAGGTGACGTCACTTCCAAGTCCATAGAAATGACCAATCACTGAAGGGAATCCCTTATCTAAGAATATATAAATATCTTAGAAATATCTCAGTAAATAGTTAAATGGACAATGGGAGTGTACATTTTGACAATAATCTACAAATAATACAAAACATAATATGCATTGGTAATGAATCAAAAATAAATGTTTCCTTATCTTTCCAATTCATTAATTAGGCAACTAACTTGTGTGCAGTTAATTGAGTGGCTCTATATACTGCAACCACAGTCCACCAAGCTGAAACCAACATGGAATCAAAAAGAAAACCAAACTGGAGAGAAGAAGAGATACTATTAGATGGATGGCTGTTGCTAGGGACGCTCGCATTTCCATCTCCTCCCTCATCGGTGTAGTTGGGAAGTCAATGTAATGCATGACGAGGTGAGGAGCAGTAAGGGCCATTATTGTTTCCATAACAATTCTGCTAATTGACGGTTGTGATGGCCCCAAATAATCAGTGTTACACTGTTGCATTTTTCCAGTGGCAAGATATCGAAGCATTGTGATGACCTTTAATTCTGCCGTGAAAGCTCTGCTGCGTGATGTTACTGATGAGATGACGTCCCTTATTAAATCTGTGACAATAATAATACCCTCTTTTTCTAAACTATACTGTTTGATCAGCTGCTCGTCATCAAACAAAGTCAGGACATCCTTCTGCTCCCGGAACTTTCGCGCACGTCTCTCTCGCCTCAGTGCCATCCTCTACTGGCAACTCCTAACCACTTAGGACACCTCTGGAGGTCTCTTAAATATCTGGGGGAGTAGGAGTGATTCTTAGACTTGAGAAGGTTGATAAATAGCTTTTATTCTTAAGTTTGAGAGTAGGACTAAATTTCACAAATTCTCAGCACTTAAGACTAAAATGGCACTCTAAGACGCTTGATAAATACGGCCCCTGTACTCCAAGTTGGGACTGGAGATCCTCAAGCGTACCCTTGCTAGTCATTCCTAGGTCAGGGCTGGTAATTAAAGGTGCCAGGGCATTTGCTATCAAGGCTCTGGAATTCTCTGCCTGAAAAGATTAGGCTTGCTAGCACATTACCCATTTCTAAATCATTGCTTAAAACATATTTTTATAGGAAAGCCTTCCCTTTTAATGCCTGATATGTACTTTTGTAATTCGCAACTTTTGTTTTATTTCCTTTTTGCCACTTTACACACTATCTTTCTTGGCTCTTTATCTTTTTTTTAAAAAAATATTGTACTTTCATTGTTGTCTTATTTGAATGCACTTTGTAACATTGTTCGTATAAGTAGTATACAAATAAAGTTACGATTATTATTATTATTATTATTAGGGTCAAAACTCAACATTATGGCGTCAATTTTATGGAGCCCTATTGTAACAACCTTAATTTTACAATATATGCTACAATTATTCTAGTTGTTACTAAGATAGTAATTTTAGTGGCCAATACAGAAGTGATACAGAAGTGGCTTAACACTCATAAGTGTTTAGCCATGTCAGTTGCTAGAAGAAAAATGAATAGTTTCTGAACGAATCGTATGGCAATGCTATCCCTCCATACAGAGAATGAAAGTTAAAATGTTACCGTAAAGCCAGCCGTATCTTAACGTGTTGCAATGGAATAAATTATAACGATCTCTACCCACAATAGTAACGACCACAAACCAGAACTAGCTTGCTACGTTAGTTTTCTAACGTTATTAGCTAACAGTATTAGCACACTGTTAGCTAACAGTATTAGCACACTGTTAGCTAACAGTATTAGCACACTGTTAGCTGTTGATTCTGCAGATAGACACATCGCACTCACCGTATATATCAACCGCTGTTCAGACTAACTCTGACTTGAGAACTCACAATCGTAGTTTCTGTGTACCAAGGCCTGACTACGATGTATATTTTGATAAGTGGTTGTCTCAGCTTTCTACGGAGTTCAGTTGTTGACATGTGTAGCAGCAGCTGCACCTTCCCGCTCGCAATTCTCTTCCCTCAGGATGGCGAAAACCTGCCCTAGTCTGCCTCTGATTGGCTTAGCTTGATATTCTTACCCTATGCCCTATCCCTAACTAATTTCACTTCCCGTGCCTAAACCAAGCCAATCCTACCAACGAAGGTAACGACTATTAGCCAATCACAGGGAGAATAGGGCGGGTCAATAACTCGCTTCGCGCTCTGGCAGAGACAAGTAACTTCCGTCAACGACATGTCGTGACTTCCAATCAGATCCAGCGGATGCTGAGTTGGTTCCCCCCCCCCAACCCCCCTTCTCCACTCACGTCTCCTCCCACCCCTTTTATCTTCTCATGTTTCCGCCTCTCCTCTCCCCTCCTCTTTCCATATTTTTTACCCCCTCATCCCGTTTGGTCTGTGGTTATATTTCAAACAGTTGCATTTTATGATATCTATAAAAAAAAAAATTAAATATCAGTATTTTTGCCAGATATTTGTGAATTAGGAATTTGCAAAAGACCAAATTCACTTTACTTTAGTCAGCAATGTTGCACATATGAGCACAATTACTTTAATGATGAAGCAGCATACAGCACACATTGTCCAGGATTATGCTCTGCTTTGTCTGCCTCCTGCTGTGCCATTGATGCTGCATGTTTGTGTTGTTTGAAAGCCTCCAAGAGGGCATGTAATTGGCTGGCAGAGTAAAGATAAGTGAGCAGGGTGAGGATGAGTGCAGATGTCTCTGGCTAATGGTCGTCTCCCAGGCAATCTCAACAGTCCCAGTAGACAGAGACTCATGGAGAGATGCTAATGCTCCTGCCTGGCATTGTTGGCTTAAATCAAAATGTGGAGCAGGATCAGCACAGTGGCCTCTGGCAGCACTGAGTGAATCCAGGCAGCCAAAACATGAATGATGAATGATGGGTGGAGGCTACTGATTTGTTTTGTTTGAGCCCCTGTGAGCTAATGATGGTGAAATGTTAGTCAGGATAATGTCTTTCAGGAGACACAAAACAATTTTCTGTGTTATTTCCCCAACCTTAAATCTAATAAAATTGACAAATACTTCAGTTAAATGATCATTCAATGTTCCATTAGCTCCAATCCATGTACTTCCAGGCACCAGGATTTCTCTCCTGGACCTATTAACCCCTACCCTATCTCTCCACCCTCCCCCCGCCTATGTGTCTCTCTCTCCGCCCTGCAGGCAGGTATAGCAGCTGTCCGATTCGTTTTCCCTCTTTGTGACTCAGCTTCTTTATTAGAGCAAACAGAACATCATCAAAGCAGCAGTAGCAGCAGCAGCAGCAGCGGCAGTGCTTTCCCCCCCAGAACCTGAGCAGTATCCCTGTAAGTGGAGTGGACTCAATGTTTTCGCCACTTCCCAAGGAGCATCCTTTAATTTTTCTAGGTTTGGCATGTTGTAAACATTTTTTGGAGTGACATTTTCCTTTTTTCCCCCTGAGAGGATTATTGTGTTTTGATCTGGAGGTGTCTTCTTACTTTTTGGATATGTTAGCCAGCATCATGAAGACAACATGGGTGGCTGATGTCTTGTTGTTGACTAATTAGCTTTTAACTGAGTGTCAGTTTTGTTCACTAACTTATGAATTTACTAACAAACTGGTACTTCTCTTTAATGTTTTTCTGGCTGTTTTTTTTTTTGCTGACTGCTTAGTTTGCTGGCTGAGAAACCAATCTTCTCTTTTGTTCACTGAATGACTGACTGGCTGTGGTGTTTATTGTCTGGCTGACAAATTGCTATTTGGTTCATTAAACACAGGCTAACTGCTTATGTTATTAACTGACTGGCTGACTGAGCTACTTGCTATTTAATTCCCTGACTGGCTGCCTTAGTTATTTCACCTGTGCCTGCTGCATAGCTGATTATTTCGTACGCAGGCTTACTATTTTGCTGACTGGCTGGGAGTGGCATCATCATTGTCACACTCTCGCTCTGTGATTGTTTGGATTTGGAGGATGTGTGATGGAGAAGAGGAGAGGCTCAACATAAGAAAATTCAAAGAAGGAAAGATCTAGGAGCAGGAAGCAGAAGAGAAAAGATAGGAGGAAGAAACCTCACAGGAGAAAATTGGATTTTGGAGCAAAAGGAAGGGAGATTGTCTGGGAAGGAAGGGTGGCGAGAGGAGGCGTGGCAGCGGAGAGAGAGAGATAGAGCAGCGAGAGAGAGAAGGGGAGGAGAGTGGATGCAACCCACACCCTGAGATGCTGTGCTGGCTGAGAGAAGACGAGATGTCGGTCCAGGAACTGCTACAGAGGGTGCAGTGTGTCATCACTCATGTTGGTAAGTCGTTAAATTTCCTCATCATCCTATTCATATTTCACACGATTAGAATAAAAAGAGCTTTTGTCACTACTTAGGGAAAATGAACATGAAAGCCTCTCATGGAGTATCCCCTTGTTGCTAGGGTTAGTGTATTGTTGGAGGATGTATTATGAGCTTGTAGCTTTTTCTGTAAATCCTTAAATTGGTTAAACGTGTGAAGAGAAGCAGAGCAGATGAAAGCGATGCAGGGAATCTCCATCCTCTCATCAGGACCACTGAGTGTAGAGCACACATGGGCAGAGGAGAAAGTGAGTCACCAGGATACAACAGAGGACTTATTGATGTTGGTTTTTCTGTGGTTATGAACATATTCAAAGTACCATTTCACTGTGTTTAGTCAATCAGGTGATTTTCTTTTTTGCAGCACACATTAACGTAATGAGGTTGGCTTGATTAGATGTTTGATTAGGGCATGTGAATATTTGCTGAGACCAGGATCTGATTTTCTGTCATTTACTTGGAATGATTTACAACAGTACAACTACAGCAAACAGCCTGCACATTTAGTGTGATAGGGCCAACAGTACTTATTGGCGGGGTGGTGAATAACTAGCACTCTTGTTGGTGCTTTTTTTTTTTTTTTGTAATTTACAAGATCTACAAGATCAAAGTTTAATAGATTTACCATCTTATATTACTATTAGTCACTTAAGTCTTATATGCCCCCTTTCCTCTACCTTTCTCTTCGTTTCAGTTTCTCCTTTCATCTCTCCATCCCTCTTTCTTTATTTTTTCCTAGTCACTTCTCTCCCTTGCTCATTTTCCATCCCCTCTGCATCTCCACCATTCCCCCCATCCATCGCTTCTATGCTTTCATTTTGCCTCCCTGTCATCTCCCTTCCCTCCCCTCACTTCCCTGTCCTCTCCTTCTTCTGTCCTTTTCCTCCTCTACCTCTCCCATTGTGCATCCGGGTCGTTTCCTCGACTGGTTGGGAAGTAGGTTAATGTGCCACGCTGGAGACTATTGTACAGCATCTTCCATCACTGCACTTCCTGCATCGCATTGCTGTGGGAGAGGAGTGTGTGTGGGGGGGGGGGGGGGGGGGGGGGGGGGGGGGGGGGGGGGGGGGGGGGGGGGGTATGAGGGCCTGTGCAGTGTTACTATGGAAACTGAGCTAGCTTGTGCCGAGCAAGGGGCTCTGAATTGATTTACCAATATGTGCAGCATTGGTGACAAGGTGGTAATTAAACAATAATTTTTTTCTTGTTGTGGATTTGTATATTTGCAACACCTTGTCTGCTGTTTTCATATTCCCAATGTCTATTCAATTACGTACATTTATACACTGAGCACAACTGACATAAACTGCAACGCACATGGTAAAACTCCTAGATTGGAGTACACAAAAAAACTTCACACACACACACACACACACATATGTATGTATATGTATGTATATTCAGATAGTTGACAAAAAAAATCTCATCACCCAGTTCACTGTACAGTTGTACAAAGTATGCCACACTGCATTTCACTATTTCACCACTGTATACACACGTGTGTGTTACTGGTTTCCTAGTTTATCTTGCTTCTGGCTGTGTGTGGTGTATTTTTTTCCTCTGCATGATTCTTCTGCAAATATGAGCTAAGACTGACAGCTGCAATGATGATTGTGTAAACCGGAACTGGTTGGTATTTCAAATGTGTTTCATAGGCTAATCAGTTTTAGTGTAAAAAACATTAATCTGTGTCTCTTTTTCATACTCACCTGCTTGCTAAATAGACTTTGTGCGCATATGGAAAGCTAGGACGTTGCAGGTGGTACTTGTATGTATAAAGGGGGCGGCAGTAGCTCAGTCCATAGGGACTTGGGTTGGGAACCGGAGGGTGGCCTGTTCAAGTCCCCGTCCGGACCAAAAATATGGAGCGTGGACTGGTAGCTGGAGAGGTGCCAGTTCACCTCTTGGGCACTGCCGAGGTGCCACTGAGCAAGGCACCGAACCCCCCAACCGCTCAGAGCGCCTGTCATGGGCAGCCCACTCTGACATCTCTCCACTTAGTGCATGTATAGGTCCAGTTTGTGCATGTGTGTGTTCGGACCTGTGTGTAATTGACAACAGAGTGAAAAATTGAATTTCCCCTTGGGGATTAATAAAGTATATAAAATTTAAAAAAATTAAAAAATTAAAGTAGAGTGCTACTGGTGCCACGGCACAGTTCCATTACGTTTTGTGGACATTTTTAGTTGGTTAGTTGGTTTTTAGTTGGCTGAACTTTCAGTGCCCTTTGAATTGTGCACTAAGCACTTTATTCTGCACAGCTTTTCCACTGTCAAAGCAGCCTAATTAAGCCTAACAGCCTGATCAGAAACCTGGATAAAGACAGAAACAAAAAAAACTTAAACATCATTTTCTGAATATGATCAAAACCAGGTTAGGATTAATAACCAGGAGTTTACTAGGGCTTTTGCACTCAAAGATACCTCATCTTGCACATTATCATTGTTGCAGAACCAGAGAACATTATGAGCTGTCTCTCTTTCTTTTCATCTGTTTCTATTTTTCTTTCCTCCCCAACAAGACAGTATTGTTCACTCACCAGCAGGGAGCTCACTCATCCCAAGTTGAACCACATTGCTGTTTGCAGGACCACAGCCTCAAGCAGTACTTTTAATACGTACGATGACCATATACTGTAAATGCATGCCTTTTCCTAACTTTGTTGCTGACCATACACTTACATCCTTTCAGAACGTGAATTGAAGTACAAGGGATCTCTTCCTCCCCTTTATGATTTTCAAGCGATGATAGTTCATCCACTTCTCTTTAATTTCCTTGTTTAGTCCATCTGAAGGCCTGTCGTCGGATTGTCATGTTGGCCCATCATTAGTGTCATGTGGAACAGACCCTCTGTCTGTTCCACATGACACTAATGATGGGAGGAGCACAGTGTTACTTTAAGGAATAGTGTGTAAGAATTAGGGAGATTTAGTGGCAAGGAGCCAATGGCTCAATTGATGGGACATATTTTATTCAAGTTGACCTTAGGTCTCCTCACATTGTATTAAATCACTCAAGATTGATCATGAGAAGGTCTCTCTACGTCGTATGACTGTCACAGTGCATAATCTGCTGCAATAACTGCTGCATTTAACTTATCAGTTTTGGTCAGCTGTGGCTTCCTGATTTAACAGACTAACTAGTTATTTGGCTGGCTAATTTGTCAAGAGATTAGTTCCAGCCTGTACCATAACTCAGTTGTTGTTTTTACATTTCTGTAAGTGCACAAAGATTAAGATTGATATTCTCATCTCATTCTCAGATATGTGTATTTTCCAAACTGAATTTGTTTATTCCAGATGAGAAATTGTGGAGGTAAGGTAGCCAAGGCACATGAAACAAAATAAATAAGGCACTTGAGGACATAGGAAAGATGCAAGATACAATAAAACACTGTGACAGTTATCTACTGTAAAATGAAATATAGTTTAAGAATGCAAAGTAAACTAAATATTGATACCACATTACAGTGTTAATATGTTCTAACCATATGCATGTGTAGTATTCTTTACGTTAGCAGTGCAAGTAGACTGTGCATCAAGCTCAAACATTTTTGTTCAGTAAGCTCTTTAAAGTGTAGTTTGAGACTTTATGACTTGCTAGTTTTGTGCACAAGTAAATTGGTAGAATATGTAGAATTATCATACTTTACTGGCTTTTCCAATAGCTTCATTAAAAAAATTTGTCTATCTAGCTAGCTACAATAGGTAACATAAACTTTATATCACCAAGTTATGTTTATCCATTTAGCAGGAAGGAGCAGTTTGAATGTAGGGTATTCTAATAGCTTCATGCCCTGCTGCTAAATAGGGAACTGCCCATTGGTCCGACATCCCATTGTTCCGACCATATTAAACCCATTGTTCCGAAGTCCATTCCGAAATCATCATGATGCCCTGTGGTTAAGGTCTGGTCAGGTTTAGGCACAAAAACCACTTGGTTAGGGTTAGGAAAAGATCATGGTGTGGGTTTAAATGAAAAAGAAAGTGACAAACACATAAGCCGTGAGCCTGCTTCACCTCAAGCCTTTCCCAGCTGACCCAGAGCCAGTCGCAGCGCACCATTAAAGCATAAATACGCCTGCGGGGAGCCGTTCAGCACCACGGACCGTCAGACTAATGGGATGTCGGACCAATGGGCTGTCGGACCATTGACATGGACCCGCTAAATATAGCACTGAATTAGCAGCTGCACAATCTCGGAACCCAATTACTATTGGTCTGATGATGATAGAGTACTCCAGGGATGATGTTTTTCTGTTGGTCGATGTAGAAGTTAGTGTCGCCCTTGTTCTCCTGTCAAAAAGCCCATGGGATTTTTCCACTGGATTTTGAATTATTGCAGAAAATAAGTTCTGTGGCAAACGTTTATGATACTTACACATTTTGTCCAGCAAGATCCTCATCACAAATCAACATCACTTTTATGATTTTGGAGCCTAAATGCAATTGCCAGAGGTAAAAAGCTAATGTTGGGCTATAAATGAACTACACTACAGTCGCATGACTTAACATCCGTACCACATCGAGGCTGTAAAGCCATGTTTGTGGTGACAAAGTTCTGTGGTCTCATTTAGCCACTTGTTAGCAACCGTCTTATTTAAGACACACAAAGATTCAGAATTAATGGGTGGGCCATTTACTGATATATTTTATGTCGTAGAACAAAATGTAAAACTCTTTTGAACTTGTGTTAACCACAGACCTTATTTCAGGCATCTAACCAAAAACCCATTCAAAAAACCCACTGACTTTAAGATGAGGGAACCAGAAGTGCTAAAATGCTAACTCATTTCCAGGTTTTAGGACTCCTTTCTTTGGCACGGTATAGAGCCTCTGGGGGCAATGGCCAATATTCTGGGGGTTCTGGTGTAGCCAGTGGCTATCTGGGTCAACACTTCCTTTTCCATGTGCCACTTACTGAGACAGGTCCAGACAACATTTTGGCTAATCTCTAGC